GACTTAGCAAAATAATAGCATCACATGAAACCACTAACCAATAACAACCTAGCCACTATCTGCAACAACTAAATCCTAAAGAATAGGTAAAACAATAYGTGAWTAGCAAACTGAAACAAACTCCTAAATACTAGGATAACATAAATCATCAACAATCCCTCCCTTAAACTGAACGCTTGCAAACATTCAGTTTAACAAATGTAGAACTAAGCCTCACACTGGATCCTTCAGAGTACATACTCCCAGTAACTTCCTCAGCTTCTGAAAAGTAGCAGATTTGAGAGGTTTAGTTAATATATCAGCAACTTGATCTTCACTTCTGCAGTAAATCAGATCAATAACTCCATCCTTGATAAGATCACGCAAGAAATGGTATCTCACGTCTATATGCTTGCATCTTCCATGAAAAACAGGATTTTTTGAGAGTTTGATTGCTGATCTATTATCACAGAAATTTTGAGTAGAACCTGATTGCTTGAAATGAAATTCCTCAAGAATTTTCCTCAACCAGAGTGCTTGACAAGCACAAGAATTTGCTGCAACAAATTCTGCCTCAGTTGTTGAAAGAGTAACTATTGGTTGCTTCTTTGATGACCACGAAACAGCTGCAGAACCAAGCATAAATACATAACCAGATGTGTTTCTTCTATCCTCCAAATCTCCAGCATAGTTGCTGTCCGTAAACCCAAACAATTCTGATCTTCCACCACTCTTGTAGAACAGCCCGAAATCAGTAGTGTCTTGCAAGTACCGAAGGATCCTTTTGGCAGCTAGAAGATGACTCTCTTTTGGATTCTCCTTATATCTTCTAATAAGACTCACTGCTTGCATTATATCCGTCCTTGTTGTTGTCAAATACATCAAACTTCCAACAATCTGTTTGTAAAGAGTATTATTAACTCTTTTTCCCGTTGGATCATTCACAAGCTTCAATCCATTTTCCACTGGAGTAGTGATTGAATTGCAATAAATCATCTGAAACTTCTATAAAATTTCTTCAACATATTTTTTTTGAGAAACAAAAATTCCAGCAATAGATTGTATCACTTCTATGCCAAGAAAATAGTGCATTAGCCCAAGATCAGTCATATCAAACTCCGACTTCATAGATTGCTTCAAATTTTCAAACATAGCCCTGTCATTTCCCGTATAAATCAAATCATCTACATATAAGCATATCAACAGCAATTTCTTCCCTCTTTAATTTTTGTATAAAGAGTATGCTCATATGGACATTTGCGAAAACCTTCCCTTATAAAATAAGCATCTATACGACTATACCAGGCTCTGGGTGCTTATTTTAGTCCATATAGTGCCTTTTTAAGTTTATAAACTTTATGCTCACTACCAAATTTCACATAACCAGGAGGTTGATCAACATATACCTCTTCTTGCAAATCTCCATGTAAGAATGCATATTTCAGTCCAATTAGAAGATGGGCCATGAGTGTTGAGCTACCAATGCAATCATCAATCTAATTGTGCCGTGTCTTGCAACTGGAGCAAACACTTCTTTGTAATCCACACCAAACTCTTGCTTGTAGCCTTTAGCTACTAAGCACGCCTTGTATTTATCAACTGTACCATTTTCCTTTAATTTTGTCTTGTAAACCCATTTGACACCAATTGTCTTCTGCCCTTTTGGAAGCTCAGTTAGCTCCCAAGTATTATTCCTCTCAATGGCTGAAATCTCTTCATCCATAGCCTTCTTCCACTTTTGTTCTTTGACAGCAACTTCAAAGGTTGTGGGATCACAATCTGAAATTAAAGCAAAGTGTGTAAGTGGATCCTCAAAATCATCAATTCTTGTTACCTCATAGTTTGACATCAATGCTGGCCTTCATCTAACACATTGAGGGCGTGAATCTACTGCGACATCAGCTTGTTCTTCATTTCTTGCTGTTGTTGGTGAAATTTCAGGAGCTACAGGAGGTTCATCTTGAGAATTCTTAGGTGCAGGGGTTGCTAGAGCTAGATACTTGGTTTCTTCTTCATTCTCACCATCAAAATCTGCTAGAATTTGTTGTCCATTAGTGTGGCAGTTCCACAACCATGTTTTATCTTCATCAAAAACAACATTGTGACTAATGATAATTTTCTTAGTGATAGGATTGTACAATTTATAAGCTTTTGAACAATCACTAACACCAAGAAAAATACTTTTCTCACCTTTGGCATCTAACTTTCTTCTTTTTTCATTTGGAACATGAGCATATGTTATACACCCAAACACTCGAAAATGATCAACAGCTGGTCTATGTCTACTCCATGCTTCTTCAGGAGTTATATTTTGAACAGCTAGTGTGGGGCTCCTATTCAAAATATAAACACTCCAATTAACTGCTTCTGCCCAAAAACTTTTTGGAACTTCACTCCTCTGTAAAAGATAGCGCACCATATTCAAAATAGTGCGATTTTTCCTTTCGCAAACACCATTCTATTGAGGAGTATAAGCTACAGTCAGCTACCTTCTAATTCCATGCTTGTCATAGAATGCACCAAATTCCTTTGAGTTGTATTCACCACCACGATCTGTGCGTAATATTTTGATTGGAGTGCCAGCCTCTTTTTCAACTAGTGCTTTAAACCTTTGAATAGTTGTGAAAGCATCTGATTTTTCTTGTAGAAAATAAACCCATGTTTTCCGACTAAAATCATCAATAAACGACATAAAGTATCGTTTACCTTCATTTGACATTGGATTTATCGGCCCACACAAGTCGGAATGCACAAGTTCTAGCCTTTTCTTTGCCCTCCAAGACTTCCCTTTTGGAAAGACATCTCTATGTTGTTTAATGATGACACAATCTTCACATAATTCTATAGGAATCTCAAACTTTGGAAGGCCTACCACCATATTTTTCTACTGCAAGGTTTTCAAACAACCAAAATTGAGATGGCCATAGCGAAAATGCCATAACCAAGCTGTATCTTTCAGTTTCGCAGCAAGACACGAGTGAGTGGTATGAGAAAGATACAAAGGAAACATTCTGTATGCTGACATTTTCACTTGAGCAATTAAGCCCAAATTTTTATCTTGAATTCTGCAGATTCCATCTTTAATAGAGATCTCATATCCCTTTTCTTGAAGTTGACCAGCACTCAACAAGTTTGTCTTTAAATCAGGCACATAAAGAACATTAGAAATGGTTTGTATAATATTATCCTTTGTATGAATTGTTACCTTTCCTTTTCCCATAACAGAAACATTGGAATTATCTCCAAACTTCACAGTGTTGCGAACAGATTCATCCAATTCCGAAAATGCCGTCTTATCGCCACACATGTGGTTGCTGCAACCAGTATCTTAATACCACATATTTTGTTGAGGTTCTTCATTCACGTGACACACCATTAACAAGGATACTTCTTCTTCCTTTTCTGCAAGATTAGATATTTCTCCATGTTGTCTATTCAAATTAGTTCGGCATTCAGACTTGTAATGGCCATACCTATGACATTTGTAGCACTCCACATTGGGCTTGTCTGCTGACCTCGTTCTATAGGTAGTTGAGTGGTGGCCTCATCGTCCTCTTGTTCTTTGGTTGTCTTGGTGGTGTTGTTGATTTTGTTGTTGGCTTTCACGATCATTGTTTCCTCTTCCTCAGCCTCTGCCTCGACCTCTACCTCGTTTTCTGTGATCTCTTGGTGCTGAGTGATTTTCTATGGAGGCCTTCAAAGCTTGCTCCTCTTTCTCGTGCTGGTTTAATTTATGCTCATGAATCAACAAAGAACTTTGTAATTCGTCAATTGAAAGTTCATCAATGTCATGAGATTCTTCTATGGAACAAACAACAAAATTAAATTTTGGAGTCATGGATCGAAGAATCTTCTCTACTATGGTCACGTCCTCCATCTTGTCGCCATAGATCCGCATCTTATTCACGATCGCCATTGTTCGAGAGAAATAATCTGTGACTGACTCTCCCGACTTCATTCGAAGTGTTTCGAACTCCAAACGAAGTGCTTGATGCTGCTGCCTCTTTGCCCTTGTAGAACCTTGGTATTTCTTTTTCATGGAATCCCATATTTGTTTAGAAGTGTCCTTGCAAAGAATAGTTTCCAAGATTGAGCGATCAATTGCTTGGAAGAGATAGTTCTTTGCTTTAAGATCCTTTAGCCGCTGCCCTTCGAGATCAGCTTTCTGTTGGTCTGATAACACTGTGCTCGTTGCTTGTTCTGCTACCCCGGCTTCAACAATATGCCAATACTCTTTAGACCGTAAAAAATTCTCCATTAGCATGCTCCAATGATTATAATGACCATCAAAGCATGAAATTGCAGATTGCACAAAGTTTTCTGAGGTCATTGTTCTTGCTGCTGCTGCAAAATAGTTGTTGCTGACTCACACTTCAACTCAAGAAGACTCTCTTTCTAACTTTCTAGACCTCCACTTTGTGAATTCTGGCAACTCACTTTTTCTCACACACTAAACCAAGCTCTGATACCAATGTTATGATCAGAGGCATAAATGCATAAAATGAAGACTGAAGTATAAAGGAAATACTTGACTGCACTCAGTCAATTCATCAACGAATCAGCCAATATATAGGCTATACAACCAACTGACTTAGCAAAATAATAGCATCACATGAAACCACTAACCAATAACAACCTAGCCACTATCTGCAACAACTAAATCCTAAAGAATAGGTAAAACAA